CCCCCCCCACCTCGCAGGCGTTAAACAACGATCGGTTAACTGTATGCAAGGATACCTGGGTGCGTCAGCTGCATGCAAGCTTAAGTTTATGAGTGATAAGCAGGACGGGCAGGCATAAAGGATCGACATTAGGAAAACATTTACCAGTAGGTGGTATTAGAAGTAACAGTCTTTGGACAGGGTGATATTCAGAGAGATGTAGATAGTTTTCAATGCGATTTTACTTTTAAGTTTTTCGCATAATATATCGTGACAATAATCTTTGTGTTAGTCACAGTGTTGTACACCTACTTTATATTTATAGCAGATAATACCAGTTTTAAAATAATGAGAATCTGAACGATGAGTATGTCAAAGGTGTAAATGATCAGCAAATAAACAAGGACGCAGTACAACGAGCTGGGTAAACAGGTGACTTGATACATTTTTGTCCTGTCAAGGCGTGGCTTGTCAATCAAGCTTAAGGTGGCTGGCAACAGTTTCCAGCACTTTCTAAAACTAAGATTTTGATGGGTCATTATACCCACTCTTTATCAACTGATGTTACAATCATGGTATCCAGACACTGTTCAATCATTGGTGAACACGTTATCGTTTTCTTGACACAAAAAAAGTTATCATAGCAACAGTAGATCCTGTTAAAACCCACCTAATTTAAGCTTTAACTGCTAATAAATCAGAAGCGAGCTCTATTACCCCCATTTCATGTTATACAATTAAAGGTTACAGCTCTTTACAAAGTTCAGAGACACATTAAAATTTTGAAAATTTAACTGTTGCCATCCTCCTAAAATGCGTTAAGATTACCAGTTTTTCTAGGCTGTACAGAAGAGTTTTAAAAAAGACTGAGGTTCTAGGCTCGAAGTAGAAAGTTTTGGAAGTCCCAGAATCTTGGCAGAAAGTCTTAGACGACCAGACTAGTCCGAAACTTTGACTAGACTAGGCTCGTGCGAGTTTGCTTACGTTTTGGGCCTAACTAGACTTAAAATGGAGTCATTGAAATTTTATCGGGAGAAGTGGTAAAAAATGTCAATTACATTTACAGCGGAAGCCCAGTATAAATGAGGGACGGACAAAGAAGTTTGTAACATAGAGCGTTCCCTATTTCGTGTTTCTCAAGGAAAATGTTAAACGAGTCTTTTAACACATATTTCTTTTATTTTTTCTTGAGACTTCAAAGATTAATATAGGCTTTTTTAATCTTTAATATTTTTTCAACTAGTTTTCCTCATTTTTAATGTGAAGCGCCTTGGATAATAGGCCAATTTCGGTATATTAAAGTTCTAACTTGGCTCAGACCAGCAAATGATCCCCAAACTTGTACCGCAAATGATCCCGGGACCGGAACTGATTCCACCGCAAAAAGTTAGGAATGGCGTGGACTCCACGAAGAGTCTATGGATGGATACATATTTTCTTAATTATCCTAGGTGAAGAAAAGACGAGCACCTCAGGCATAAAAGCAGCAATAACAAACGTTTAACATACTTTATTATATCTCTCAGTTAGTACGCGAGCTGTGATTGGTCAATTTAGCGGGCCGTAATCTACTGTAC